GTCTACAAAGAGGAGAGTCAACACAGAGGAACATTTCCTCCATGCTTCCAAGTGAAGCCAGCCATGGTTGAGCAGGGCTTTTGACTTATCTTCACATAGATGGAACTGGTAAAAAATGGAGCCAGGGGATCCTCCCAAGCCCATGTGACCCCTGAGGAACAGATCCTCAAACAACCTTAAGAGTAAAAATAACTTGGTTTATCTGGGCCAATTGTAGGGTCTTAAACACCCAAAGGAAAGTATAACCAAAGAGTAATGGGGTCAATATAACTTAAGAGTCCATATGTATAGCTAAAGGCTACATAAGAAGAAACAATGCCAGACAGGAGATACCTTCCTTTGAGTTATTGGCCAGGGTGGCCCAAAAGACTCCCAGACAGTAACTCAGCATAAAACTGGGAAAATGAACAGCAGACCCCAATCTTATCTAATGGAATATTGACAACCGATTGCTGCTAGTTGAGGAACAGCTGATATTCCTAAAACAAGGCTCTCTAGATAGGCTGACTAGATTCAGCAGATGGACAAGCACTGGGGAATGGCTGGGGGCGCCGACAACACAGTGGACAGTAACGGGGATGGCAGAGTATATGGGCTCCAGTGCGTGTGTGTGTGTGTGGCTATGGGAGGGTGCCATTTGGGAAGTGAGTATATAGATGAATAAGGTTGTGTGGGATGTTCTGTTTGATATGTACACACACAAAAATGAACAAATGAAAAAAAAGGCTTACGTTTGAGGAAGAAGCATAAAAATTTACTTCATGTTAATTAGTAGGGGTGATAAACATTACCATTGAAATCTACCTGATGACTTTATATCCATACTCAGGTGCCAAGGATCTGAGTGTAACCGTGACTAGTAAGAATCAGATACATAGAGATTAAACACACGTTCAAATATCTAAGTGTTAGTAACATTAAAAATGTAGGAAACAGCATATTTTAAAATGAAATGAAGATCTTCTTTAAAGGGTAAAAACTCATTCAATTTTATGTCTTACAGGGTTTATACTGTGTTCAATATTGTATTACCATATTAATTCAACTTTGAACCTAAAAATTTACAGCCACTTTTGAAAGAGATGTATCCTTGTTCTGGAAATTGTTACTAAATATGTTAAAGCTGTAATGAAATGCTTCTTCTAATCACATGGCTATTAAATAAAAAAATACCAGAAAATTAAAACATTTATTTTAAACACATAAAACATAAAACTGTACATATATGTTATTATCTGGTATTTAAATATATACAGACACTGTGCAATATTCAAGTCAGAGTAAACATATCTTCCCCCTCACACATTTATGATTTCTTTATTGTGAAAAACTAAAAATCCTTTCTTGAAATGTATGGTCCATCATTATTACCTAGAGCTACTCCTTAGATAATCAGAACTTCTTACTGAGACCTAACTACAACTTAATATACACTGATCAGGCTTTCCTCATCATCCCATTCTGTTCTCTTTGTTTTCCCTCTGCTGATAGATTCTCTTATGATTCCTTGCCCAATTCAAGTTATGCCTCACCTGACCTGAAAAATAGGATGCGGTGTTTTAGATGAAAAGCATCATTACTATTTTAACACAAAATATTTAGATTAAGAAAATTTGAACCCGCAGATAGATGAAGCAGTCATTTCAACTTTGTGCCATAGTGTGGACTTGTTGTCCCTCCTTTTCCCCTAAGGGATGATGTTTTTTCTTTCTCCAGTTTTTATTTTGAAAATGTCAAACCTAAAGAGATGTTTGAAAGAAATCACATCTATATCTTGCCACCAGTTAACAGTTTGCCTCATCTTCTTCTCTCTGCAAAATCAGTCTTTCTCTTTGCTAGACCATTTGATAATAAATTTCAGCTATCATAACACTTCAGTCCAGGATCTTAGTGTGCGCTCCTAAGAACGCCAAAATTCTTTTCTAACCATGAGACTATTATCATGTTAAAGAACTGTAACACGGATACAGCAATATTACCTAACATGTAGTCAGTATTCACATGTTCCTAATGCCCCCATTAGTCCTTTGTAGCAATTTTTATAATTCCTTAATTTTCTTTGTAGCTATTTCTTTTTAATTGACAACAAATCAAGGGTTACGCCTTGGTTTTAGATGTCATATCGCCAAATCTTAATAATCTCTAGCCATCACCTTAATTTTTATTATTGTTCTTTCCAAATATTAAATTTTGAAGAATCCAGTACAGCCATTTTGTAGAATGTTTCAAACATAGATTTGTCTAATTGTTTCTTCATTGAAATATTCAGGTTAAGCATTTTAGGAAAAAATACTACATTGGGAATGCTTTATCCCTCCCATTAAATGACAATCAAGAATATGAGCTTGTCCTATTGCTGGTAGTAAATCTGACCCTTAGTCTAAGGTAGCATCGGTCCAAGTGTGTGTTGCCCATTTATGAGTAATATGTAATCTCTGGGATGATACTTTGGAAACAGAATATCTTGTTCCTGAACAGTTTTTAATTTTAGCATCCATTGATGTTTTTCTGAACCAGTTGTTATAGTGGTGGTTACAAAATGTTTTTTCTCAGTGTTTCTTTCTATATTTACTAATTATTCATTTTCTTTATAGAAAACCCTTGTGATACTTTCTAAAGTAGAGTTTTTTTTTTTTTTTTGGGGGGCTTTTTTGAGACGGGGTCTCCCTGTAGCCCCAGCTGTCCTGGAACTCACCATATAGACCAGGCTGGCCTTGAACTCACAGGGATCTGCCTGCCTCTGCCTCCTGAGTGCTGGGATTAAAGGCGTGCGCCACCATGCCCGGCTAGAGTGTTTTTTATTTATTTATTTTTTTGTGCTTTTGATCTATTACTGTTTTTAAAACCTACACTGTTTAATATTGAGGCATAGTTTTCACAATACTGAAATGTATACATTCTAACTATACAATTTGATGAATTTTTGTTTGTTTCTTTGAGACAGGGTCTCACTATGTAGCCCCCACTAGCCTGGTGCTCTCTAATAAACCACCCCAGGCTGCTGTTTCACAGTGATCTACCAGCCTCTGCTTTCTGGGGCTGGAATTAAAGGAGGGCACTACCACCCCAGCACAATTGGATTAATTCTGACAAAGAGATATACCATACAATGCTCACTGTGTTAAATTGCATGTTCATACAGTGAGCAATTTCCTGCAGCCCTTCCTAGTTATCCTTCCCTCCCCACGATGTAGTGCGGCTCTCGTTTCTCCAGTATTCGCTTTGATTTTTGCGTTGTCCTGAATATTGGCAACAAAAGCTTCACAAGTAGGCTCACACCAGGTAGATACAGACATTGTTAGTCTTCAGGCATTTTCTTATCTCAGATTATTCCTTTTAACAATTGAAACCAATTTTTCCATTAGTGGTCTTTAGGTTGTTCTTTTTTTAATTAAATTTTTGTGTATGTATTGCATACGGAACATCTCAATCAATCCTAATCATCTTTGTACCCCTTCCCCACTGGCACCCTCCCATAGCTCCCCCACTAGAATTCATACATTCTGTCATTTGTCTTAAGGCCTATTCTGTCAAGTTATTTTCTAAGACATCCCTCAGTGCAAGTTCATCTATTGAGGTCTAGTTGGCGTATCTAGAATCTTTCACTTTAGGAAGATCGGCTCTTTTTCACCCAGCAGTAATCAGTTGCCAGTATTTCTTCAGCTAAGATTGGGGAACCCAGTTCTATGCTGGGGTTTTTGTCGGTTTGAATTTGCATGGGCCCTGTTCATCCTGACACCATTGCTGTAGATTCAGATGAGCAGGGTTCCAGGAGCCTGTAGGACTCTATTTGCATGTGGTTGTGCTTCCTTCCCGGCTCTTACGATCTTTCTGCCCCCTCTTCCACAGTGATCCCTGAACCCTGAGTGGGTGTAGTTTAATATAGGAGTCCTGTCCAAGGACCAGCATTTTTCAGACTCTTAGTCTCTGTGCTTCGGCTATTTGTGACCCTCTGTTGTAGGTTGTTCTCAAAAAAAAAAAAAAAAGATCCTGCTACAACGATGCTTCAGCAAACCTCTTGGACACTTGTTTGCACCTTTTTCTATTTCTAGTCCCCAAAGTATGCATATTACTGTTTTTATTGATATTGTCACATTCTTTCCTTTTCTCCTAAAAAAGCTATATTTATTAAAGTGTCCAGTAAGGTTGCAAACATGTAGTCTCTCTGGACTGTATTTTGTCTTTCTGTATACATGATGGTGTGGAGTTAGAATTTGGACTCATCGTTGTGCAAATCCCCTCCTGTGGGTTCCAGGTTCCCCTGTTGGTTTTGATTTGCACAGGAGGTTAAGTCAAGAGGCGTTAAGTCCAAGGAGAATTTTTTTGTCTTTCTCTGTCATTTAGTGTCACATTTATCACCACAGACAGCTTTAGACAGAAGGCAACCTTACAGACTTCATTCTGTATTATCTAGGATATAAACAAGGTGGTGGAAAACATCCTCCCAAGACTTCCGGTCCTTTTGAGCACTCTATATATTTAGTTCACAGTTTTATCACTCTGCAGTTCTATCCTTAAATAACTAGTGGAACTTATTTTATTTTAGATTGAACCAGGAGTATACATCTGGGATAATAGGTTTGCCCCTGTGTATGTGTGTGTGCTTTCTTCAAGGCCAGCTAGTAAGGCCTTTCTGTTTCTGTTTTTATTTAATCTTAAACATCAGGTCTTTAAAAAATTATTTATTTTCTTTATGTGCATGAGTGTATCGCCTGCATGTATGTAAGCGCGCCCATGTTGTGCAATGCTGGCGGAGGTCAGAAAAGGGCTTTGGATCCCCTGGAATCAGAGTTACGAACAGGTGTTAACTGCCATGTGGGTGCTGGGAATTGAACTCAGGTCCTCTGCAAGAGCAGCCAGTGCTCTTAACCACTGAGCCATCTCTCTAGCCCCTTAAGCATCAAGTCTGAGATTAAACACCTTTGTGGATGACTTGCAACATTTTTTTTCTGTTTTCCAAATTGAGGAGGCTGTTTAAAAGTTTTCTCTTTTCTTTCCAGGTGTTTGAAGCTGTGATTTCCTGGATCAATTATGAGAAAGAAACTCGCTTAGAGCACATGGCCAAGTTGATGGAACATGTCCGACTCCCTCTCTTACCAAGGGATTACCTAGTCCAGGTGAGTTTTGCCTGTTCACCAGGCTTGAGGAATAGCAGGGAAACCTTGGCTGTGTGGCATGGCTGATGAATTCCATGGGTTCTCTGCATGGACAGAGGGCATCAGCCCATTGGATTAAGCATAAAGTAGGGGAATGAAAATGTGCAGTGTGTAGATTTGAGGTGATGTTTGGGTTTCAGTCAATGCTGTATTTACTAGTTTTGAGTTATTTAACGTCTTCAAACCTCACTGTCTTTTTCTGCAGGACAGGTGTTACAGTAGACCCAAGCAGAGCTATTATAGGGCTAAGAAACTGTCAGTATGCTGAGCAAGTGTTCATTACACAGCCTAGCATAATGATTGTTCAATAAAAGATGCTTTTCTTATAGAAAAACTAAGAAGAGTTATTTTCATAATGTTTCTGTTTTCCCTTTCTGCCATGGTTTTAGGTAACTCGGGGTCCAGCCCCTCACAGGTGTCAGAATATATATTCTGCTTCCTCCAAGAAAAGAGAAAAAAAATTGTGCCATGAAGCTTGGAGACTGGGATTGATCTGGGGTCAGGAGCCAGCATGAGGAAAAGTCAGAATTCAGACCCAAATCTGTCCGGCTCTAAAGTGCACTCTTCTATGACCTTCCACCTTTGACATTCTCTGTCTTATAATCCATGGTGTGCTTTGTTTTGCAAATGGTACCGGACACTCTTCTAATCAGGCAGAGGATAAACCTTCAAATATGTGGACCTAAGAAAACACTGAGGCAGTCAGCCAGCACTGAGCTATTCCAGAGGACTGTTCAGAGGAAGTAAAGGTGTGATGCAAGGATAAGAGAGGAGGTGTAGCAGCTCAGTAGCCCCTCTCTTGTTACTCCCTGTCATACTTAACCATTAGAATCTCAGTTTTCTCATCTGATCAAAATAATACCTGCTCTGATAGGACTGTTTGGGGACAAAATAAGAAAATCCGTGTAAGGTTTATGGCAGTGTTCTGTGAATGCTAGTTGATATTGTTGCTGTTTGGGGGGCGTCAGGTGACATAGTATGTTCATGAGCACTTGCAAAGCCCTGTGCTCATGACCCTGTTGTCCACAGGTTTAAGGGGTCAATGAAATGCTTTCTGTGTCTCTCCCTGTGTGGCACCTTTAACAGGTGCTGAGGGGTATGCTGGAAACTTCTCTATGGGCTCTACATGCTACCTTGGATGGTATTTCTGCCACCTGGTAGCAGCATGTCTCCCTATAGGAAAAGTCCCCAAGCAGAGGGATAGAACCTGCCTGAGCTCCCAGTGTCCCAGTCAACCCTCCTGTGTGGGAACTAATCAAGAATGGAGTGACCTCCAGCACAGACTCACTTTCACAGTCAGGGCCGATAGCCAGGGGACTGGATTCCAAAGCTAATGAAGATTCCAAGGTCCTAGTTATAGCCCCATCAAGTGTCGGCAACTGAAACTCACCAAGACATTGGTTTGTCCTGGTTATTTTAGGTTTGGATATTGAAAGAAGGTGGCCAGAGCCTGAGAACAGACTTTTATTAGGCCTTACAGAGTGAAATGGAAAGAATGTCTCATTAACATTCATCTGACCTTGAAACTTAGTTTAGTTAACAGTGGGAGTAAAGAGAAGCTGCCCTGTTCTTCCTTCCCAGGTTTCTTAGACACCCTCTTTCCCCTTTTCCTTTAATCTTAAATTTTGATGATTTGTCCAACCTGGGTCTGTGCCCTAGGGGGAAGGTAAAAAAAAAGCTTCCAGGGAAACAGTGTTCAGGAGGAGTTATCTCTGGGAAAAGAGGTGCCCAGAGGTGAGGCCTTGTTTCACTAATCCCTTTTTTTCCTGCCATATTTTCATTTCTAACAACATATGACGTCTCAGGAGAGGCTCAGGCAGACCTTGTGCATGGCTAGCTTGAGGGCCAAGTTAATTGAGGTCTGAGGCCTCTCTCGTCTGCAAGTGGACTTGAGCTCCTTGGGTTAGAAACCTTGTCTTGCACATTAGCTCTTTACTAGGGGCCAGCACAGGCCTACCCAACCAGGAGACATTCAATGACGGTTGCTATTAAATGGAATTAATCTTTTCCAACATGATGAGGACTTAGAAGTCCACATTTTAATTCCATATATGCCACAGAGTGACTAACCTGGACCAGAGGGTGGACATTTGAGAGTCAGTGCTCTGGAATGCTTCCACCCTTAGTCTGAATCATGAAACATTTAGGCTTATGTTTGCTGAAGGACTCAAGTTATGAACTCTGGGATGTATGGTGGAGAAGCCAGAGTCCCAGCTAAGATGGAATCAAAGATGAGGCCAGTAGGTAGGGCTTTGTGCAGGACATTCTTTCCTCGCTGGCCATTTTCCTCTGTGAGACTTCCACTGTTAAGAAAATGGAAGTGGATCCTTCTCTTTGACCACCTTATTTTATTCAGTGCTTCAGGGGATAGCCATTGGATTTTGCCTCCTCTCCTCTTTCCTTTCCTTCTCCCCACTCTCTGGCCTTCTGCCCTAGGTGTTACATGCATTCAAGCTGGGAGGAGTGTGGGAAGAAGCTTTGGGTTGACCACTTGTCTGTTGTTTTGTACAAACACATCTAATCCTCAAAAGCAGACTATTAGGTTATAACCACCTTTAGTATACCCTTTTTATAGATGAGGAAATTGAGGCTTAGAGATACTATGTAGCGAAACAGGGATTTTAGTCCCTGTCTGATACCATACTTTTGCATGAAATATGTGAAGTGAGCACTAATTTGCAATTTTGTGGCTCTTTCTTGGAATCTGAGATGATGTAGTGAGAGTGTGGGAATGACCCAACCTGGGGAGAGGGCTTGAGAAACTTGGTCAAATTCCTCTCTAAGATCACCTGTGAATTTTTACCCCAGACAGTTGAAGAGGAAGCTTTGATAAAGAATAACAACACCTGTAAGGATTTCCTCATTGAGGCCATGAAATACCACCTGCTCCCCCTGGATCAGAGACTCCTGATCAAGAACCCCAGGACCAAGCCCCGGACTCCAGTCAGTCTGCCCAAGGTAAACCTCAGCCCAGCCATTGCCAAGAGGTGGTACTGTCCTGTTGGGAAAGCTTGCCTCCAATTCTTTCTGGCTCACAGTTGTATTTATGACCTCAGAGATGGAGTCTGTTGGCTTCTCTTGAATCTGTTAGTAACGCTCTCTGCCAGGGACCTTCTTTTCTAAGAGTTTCAAGGTGACCTTCAGTCTTGTTGAAGAGGTGTGAGCATAATAACCTGGAGCTCGTTTCTCCTCTAGCCTCTTATTTCATGTCATGGTGGGTGTATAGTCTTTCTTTAGAAGCAGAGGAATGGCTATGCTGGTCTCTTAGTGAAGGCCCTAACAGTTCTCATTTTAGGCCATTCTTTGAGTCAGAAAATTCCCATTCTGGTTCTTTTCCTCACTACAGGGTGGGATATGAAGGACTACTGGAGCTATCAGAAAAGAGATCAGGGCTTGAGGAGTCTGGTAGACAGGGAAGCAGCGAGCAAGTAAGGGACCGAGAATGCAGGCAGGAACAGCTAGGGAAGGGAGGACGTGACGGGAGGAGACCCCATGGCTGAAAGTAGCCTAAGCCGGGTGCTGATTGCTTTGTTCCCAGTTTTGTCTGGCCCTCATGTCCCTTATCTACGGAATGACGGATGTGGCACTCAGTGATCCCCTAGAGTCCTCTATGGTTTGCTGGTCCAGCAGTGTTTCTACTATCTTATACTGATGTCTAGAGGAAGGTCTCAGTCAATCCAGGAGGGGGGAGGATGGAATGTGTCACCCTGGCCCTTGGCCAAACAGCAGGTGGTACCAGGAAAGTTGTTTAGACCCTTACTGTTCCCCCCGCTCCTCTTCCTCCCTCTCTCCTCCTCCCTCTTCCCTTTCTCCCCCTCTTTGCCTAGCTGCTGTCCTTTGCCTACTGCTTCCAGGAAGCTTTTACAGAGCAGAGACAAATACCATTGCCTAAGACTGGCTGCCAAGTTTCTCTGAGGTTGGCAGCTCTCTCCACTTTTATTTTTCACTCTGGATCGTGCAGAACATAGTAGTTGCAGTGTGACCAAATGACTCAAATGTTTCAAATAGTAATACAAGCAGTTAGTCTTTATTAAGTTTTCATCATGTGCCAAACACCTAGCGGAGGATTTGATCTGTTTTGTTTAAACTTCTCCACAACTCTCTAAAAAGATGTTGGTGCTTATTACCTTAGTTCTACAAAAGATGAAACTGAGGTTCAGAGACGTTAAGTGACTTACCCATGAGTCAACACAGCCAGTGTGATAGAACCACTGTTGGGACTGAATCATTCTCCCCCATCCCTGCTCTCTGAGCCACACCTAATCCTGCACCTGGCTTCACCTTTGCAAACCCAAGCGTGTACTTAACTGGATGTTCATGCTAACCTGTGGCCACTTAGAGTCGCAAGCACAGGGCAAGGGCCTCAGCCTGGCTACTTGTCTTACTGCTGCTGAATACCTTTGGTTTTGATTTGTTTTGTCAAAACATTAAATTTAAACTTCTTATTTTTAAAATTTTATTATATTTATTTATTGCATGTATGTGCACATGCATTCACTTGCATGTGCATGCGGAGGTCAGAGCACAGCTTGGTTCTCTCCTTCTATCATGTGGGGCCCTGGGATCAAACTCAAGTTGTTAGGCTTAGGTGCAAGCATCTTTACCTGCTGAGCCATCTTGCTGGCCTGTCATGAATAGCTGAAAATGTATACTTTTAGAAAAACGAGATCTTTCTATATGGACTGAAATATGCCCCCTCTAACCCCAATTAACCAAATACTGCAGACTGCTTTTACTATTACTAGTATGGGCAAAGTCAGCATTTGAAAACTGTAATGAGTACATGGTGCTTTGCTGTATTTCTGTACAATGTGTATTTAACAGTCCTCAATTGTTAGTGTTTGGAGTAATTTCTATTTTTGCTATTATAAACATTTCAGTATCATATGTTCTCTATTAAATGGCATCTTTTGGTTTGTGTCTCTTTAATCTTAAGTGATGCTCATCTTAGCTTCAGATCATCACTGACATTTATAGTTGTCCATTTCTCTATTGGACCCCATGTTGTTATTAGTAGTTTTAAAGGGATTTTTCGATATTAAAGACATTAGGGCTTTTGTATGTATTTTCTTAGTTTGCAGTTTTTCTTTTAACTTGCTTATGAAATTTTTTCCAGCCTATGTCCTGTCTTTTTGTTTTCTTGGTAGTGTTTTTGAAAGAGTGGAATTTATAAAAATTGGTATTTTGATTGATAAGAAAAATTGTATATGTTTATCACATACACCATGATTTTAAATATGCATACATTATAGAATGGCTAAATTGAGCAAATTAATGTATTATTACCACATATACCATGCCTTATAGTGGAGCTCTTGAACTCAGTCCTCCTACATGTAACTGAAACTTTATATCCTTTAATTAGCATCTTTCTGACCATCTTCTTTTCATTTCAGCCTGTGGTAACTACCTTTCTCCTCTCTGTCTCTGAGTTTATTTATTTCAGATTTCACCTGTGAGATTATACAGGGTTTGTCTTTCTGTGTCTGGGTTATTTTGATTAGTGTAATGTCCATGTTGCAAATGATGAGATTTCCTTTCTTTTTGAGTTGAATAACATTCCACCGTGTACGTGTAGCGCATCATCTTTAGTCATTCATCTAGTGATAGACACAGGCCTATTCTATAGCGTAGCCATGTGAATAATGCTAGAGTCTACATGAGAGTGCAAATATCTTTTTGGCAAGTTGATTTCATGTTCTTTGGCTATGTACCCAGAAGTGGGATTGCTGGGTCATATGCTAATCCTATTTTTAACTTTCTGAGGAACCTCCATACTGTTTCCGAAAATATCTATACTTGGAAGAACAGAGGCTTAAAAGATTTCAGATTTCTTCTGTTATGATTTATCTTGAGTGCTATCTAAAAAATACCTTTATCTCACTTATACTTTCTCCTGAAAGTTTTAGGCCTATGGTCCATTTTCAGAAAAAAATTAAATATGTTACATGAAGTATGGGTCGAGTTTTTATTTACTCTGTATATGAATATATGGTTGTACCATATTATTTATTGGAAATATCCTGCTCCCCTCAAGTTACTTTGCCATTTTTATTGTAAATAATTGACTATCTAAGTCTTGGTCATTCCTGGATTCTCTTCTGTTTCTTTTATCATTTGTCTCCCCTTATGCCAGGAACACGTTGCCTTTATGTCTACTTTCAGTCCCAAGGTATTATTAATGCTCCAGTGTTGTTCTTCAAAATTGTTTTTGCAATTCTAGGTCCTTTAAGTTTCAGCACTAGTTTGTTCAGTTCTATGAAAAAGCTGTGGGATTTTGATTGGGGTTGAATTCAATCTCTAGATCAATTAGGGGGAATGTTGTCTTAACACTAAGTCTTCTGTTTCCATTTATTTGACTCTTTAATTGCCCCAAATGATGTTTTATAGTTGCCCATTTATGGTTTTATCTCCTTGTTGGCAGATTTACCTATAGGTATTTGTGGGTTTGATACAATTTTAATTTTTTTCATTTCTTTTTAATTTTATTGTGGCAGTACTGGGTACCAAACCTAGGGCCTCACACATGCTGGGCAAGCAGTCTACCACTGAGATATAGGAAATTTAGTACTGACCATTTATACTACAATGTTTTCTCTTTAAATTCCAATTTTAATAGTTTATTGCTTGTATGCAGAAATATGACTGATGAGGAAAGTTATTTACTAGGAAAGGAAAGATCAGGCTGGTGATGACATTGTTTTGTAAAGAACAGAGGTGGTGGTTTCAGGAGCATGCAAGTACCCCAGGCTGTCTTTGGGCAGATATTTGGGACTTCCTTTTACAGTGTGGGCTCTTCCTCTAAACTGTAGGCTCTGTGGCAGCAGGTATTTCCCATCTGTGTCCTTGGCATACAGCCCAGATCCTGGCACATGGTGCTCAGTACTAAGGATTTTCATGAACGAGAGAGAAATATTTTAAAAGAAGACGTGGCATTATGGAGATTTGTTACTGGCTATTTATACCACCCTCATTGTTTTCTAATGTTTTCAGCATTTATGTGTGTGTGTTTACATGGATGCAGTAAGGATGTGTCCTATTTTATGTCCTTTAATCACTAATATAATTTGCCTCAGAATATTTAGTTCATCCCATAAAACCATCCAACATTGAAGAAACACAGTTGTCATTCCTGAGGGATTTGAAAAATTATAAGGCACTTAGGTTAAACAAACAAATACCAGACTCCAGCCAGCACTAAGCTATGACCTAGCATTCACAATTAATGTATTCATTACATAATTAATTCATTCATTAACTTATGAATTCACTCCGCATACTTCTGTAGAGAAGCCACTAGTTTCCCAGCACTGGGGTAGGTCGTAAAGCCACAAAGACTAATAAACTGGTCCCATATCTAAGATACACTCAGATGAAGGGAGGGGAGACAGTTACGAAGGACAGTTACAGTACAGCATGTAAGTGCCGTAATGGGCGAATGCCCAAGATGCTCTTGGAACATGGAGAGGAACAGCGAGAAACTCACGGGAGGGACTGATTCCTGCGATGAATGCTCAATATAAATATATTCTGTAGAGCTCATGTCTGGGAACTGGCTCTTACCTTCTGATGGCAGCTCAGAGTCACGTGTATTTTGTGTCTTCCTGGGTCATCGTGCTTATCACTGACAGAATTGATAATGACACACTAATATTGCTTACATACCAGTTACTGAGTAGCTTCTCTGTGTTTTAAGCTAAGCATTAAATATACACTATATTTTCAAAAAATTTATTTTTTATATGAATGTTATGCCTGCCTGTGTCTAAGTACACCCATGTCATGCAGTGCCCACAGAAGCCAGAAGAGGGTGTTGGATCCCCTGGAACTGGAGTTATGGACAGTTATTAGCCACCATGTGGGTACTGGGAATTGAACCCAGGTCCTCTGCAAGAGCAGTCAGGGCTCTTAACCGCTGAGCCATCTCTCCATTCCCAAATACACATAATCTTATTTTG